CTACAAGCATGCTTAGTGTGAGGGATTGCATTCGATACAGTGAGTCGATACAATCAGGTGATTTTCCTTAAATAGAAAACTTTGTATTTTTATTGAATTTGGCTTACAAACATGCTTTATGATGAAAAAGCACTCCTGAAACTTTAGAGGTGTTAAATGTTTGTATTGTAAAGTTACAAGGGGGAAGAGGTTAAAGCAGGCCATCTGACCCTGCCATAATCTGGTATAACACCTCTAAAGTTTCAGGAGTACTTTGTCATCATAAAACATGTTTGTAAGCCAAGAATGAAAAAGGTGGGGCCCTGTGGTTCCGATTTAGAAAGGGGGAACTAATTATGGCATGATGGCCTGTGTGGCGCCCGGGGAGCAATCGGGGGTTAAAGGTCTCGGGTACCTGAGCAAGACCCTTAACCCCTCACTGCTCCCCTTGCACCACACAATGGCAGCCCCCTGCTCCCCAAGGGGATGGGATAAATGCAGAGATTGAATGTCTCCGTTGTGAGATCAATAAAGTTAAATTATTATTATTATTACTAAAAATAAATGAAAAACAAAAGGAAAATAATTCATTATTTTGGTCAATTTTGCCTTATGAACCAGTGTTTGCATTTGACATTTTCATAGATATATCTAATATAAATGCCCAAGCAATCAGCATTGATTTTGCAGCATAATAGATGTATTTATTTAGTTGGGTCAGTACATGTAAAGTGCATTTTTATTATATAGATTCATTTGAATTATCTAATAATTCTATAATTACAACCATAGTTGAAACATATAATCAACAGTTGCTGCATAATCAAGACCAGTTCACAACATTTATGTACTTTCCATTTCTTTTAAAAAACATTTTTTGTCAAACTCATCCCTCATGTTCCTCATTTTGTGAGTTTTCACATTCAGTTTAACTTTTTTTTATAATCCATTTTGTTATATTCAGTGAATTACTTTTTCCACTCCTTTGTTATGGTTCTTAAAGCTGTACTTCTAAGAATTTTAAAGATATACTTTTCATCATTATTTAGTTTCTTTCCCGGTCTCCCTTCAACTATTTGAAATACTTCTTTCCAGTAAGGTTGTATTATTTCACAAGTATAAAAAAATGTGTACTATTTTCCTCTCCACTATTTCTCTAACATTTGCAGTTTACCTTTTTATATTTACTCAAACTTTCTGGAGTCAAGAAGTATCTCATAATTATTTTCCAAGCAAACTCTTTCCAAAATCAGGAACCCATAGTTTGATATGGGGCGCCAGACAACGTGTGAAAATCAGGGAGTTTTAAGAGAAAAATAACGGTGTTATATTTTTCCAAGTCCTTTTTTCACTATTTCATTCATTCATTTATAAAAATCTTACTTTGTCGAATAAATATTTAGCTCCAAACTAAATATTTAGTTTGTTAATGTTTATTTAGTATACTGCTATGAACAAAGATTTCTATCTCAGTCCATAAAAGTTAGGGTCTTCATATAGACAAGGCCTTGTATCGCATGGAAACATGCAAATTGAAACCGATGAACGGGTCGTTTGGTTCCATTAATACCTGAAACCTGTCTATGATTCGGAGGGTCGGTTGTTAAAGGAGGGATTGTTCACCTGGCTGAAGAGAGGAGGGACTTTGTTCCTCTGTGATGGGGTGGGGGGTGTGGTGATACCTGGGAGGGATCATCTCTATAACTGAATAGTAAGTTTTAGCCTTGTCTATATAAAGCCTCAATCTCACTGCGGATCCAGACATTTGAATTGAGAAAGCTTCCTGGAGGGGAAGCAAAAAGTCTTCAAACGTTGGAAACCAAGTCCAGTGGATTGTTTTTTAAACTTTTACGGAATAACCTGGATGACTGAGAATCTCCATCAGCATATTTCTATCTCAGTTTTTATGTGACAGTAATGTTTGATTAGATGGAAAGTGATCAATATTTCACTTATTGTTCTGTTATTCATTTTCAGATTGTTCTGAAAGGGGAGGATTTACTATTAGGCAATACTAGGCAGCTGCCTTGGGCCCCAAGTTCCTGGGGGCCCCAAAAAACTCTATTTACATGTATGGTTAATACAACTATTACCTTATTACATCAATTATGTTATTGAGAAAAATCCTTTTGCTAAAATGCCATCAGAACGCTTATAATGTTAAGTGTGTCTCAGCCCCCCCTTCAGTATCCACCATATTGGATCAGTCCATTTGCTGCACATGTTCAGAAAGGTCTAAGTAGTCAATAACACCTTGGTTTTCTTTACAGGAAAGAGCTTTACCAATATGATAGTCTGTCTCTACGCTCCATATATTGCTTTTTTCTCACTATGTTCTCATTTCTACTCTCTCCAACCGTCCAACTGATGCTTCTGAAGCTACAACTGTTCCAGCACCTTTGATGCCGGCAGAAGAGGTGGTAAGAAATCAAGAAATGTTGGAAGACACATTTTCCTGCAGAGCAGCTTTAATTTAAACCTGTTTTGTATTTCCTGGTCAAGACTTTTTTGTTCAACACAGAAACAGTTCCTGGGGGCCTCACAAAACTCTGTTTACATGTATGGTTAATACAACTTTTCCTTATTTATGCACATTAATTATGTTTTTAATCAAAATCCTTTGGCTAAAATGCCATCAGAACGCTGATAATATTAAGTGTGTCTCAGCCCCCCTCTTCAGTGTCCACCATATTGGATCAGTCCATTTGCTGCACATGTTCAGAAAGGTCCAAACAGACAGCAGCAAACCATTTGAAAACAAACCATGCAA